AATACTTTTGAGTTGCCCGCGAGGGGACATGGGGGGACGTTTTTCTTTTGTGTTCCCTCGCAATACCTTTGCGTTACCTCGCAATACCTTTGCGTTACCTCGCAATACTTTTGCGTTACCTCTCAATACTTTTGTGTTACCTCGCAATACTTTTGAGTTGCCCGCGAGGGGACATGGGGGGACGTTTTTCTTTTGTGTTCCCTCGCAATACCTTTGCGTTACCTCGCAATACCTTTGCGTTCCCTCGCAATACCTTTGCGTTACTTCGCAATACCTTTGCGTTACCTCGCAATACCTTTGCGTTACCTCTCAATACTTTTGTGTTACCTCGCAATAGTTTTGAGTTGCCTGCTAGGGGACATGGGGGTAACGTTTTTCTTTTGCTTTCCCTCACAATACCTTTGTGTTCCCTTGCAATACTTTTGCATTCCCTCGCAATACCTTTGTGTTCCCTCGCAATTCTTTTGCGTTACCTCGCAATACTTTTGCGTTACCTCTCAATACTTTTGTGTTACCTCGCAATACTTTTGAGTTGCCCGCGAGGGGACATGGGGGGGGCGTTTTTCTTTTGCGTTCCCTCRCAATACCTTTGCGTTACCTCGCAATACCTCTGTGTTCCCTCGCAATACTTTTGTGTTCCCTCGCAATACTTTTGCATTGCCTCGCAATACCTTTGCGTTACCTCTCAATACTTTTGCGTTACCTCGCAATAGTTTTGAGTTGCCTGCTAGGGGACATGGGGGTGACATTTTTCTTTTGCTTTCACTCGCAATACCTTTGTGTTCCCTCGCAATTCTTTTGTGTTACCTCGCAATACCTTTGCGTTACTTTGCAATACTTTTGCTTTACCTCGCAATACTTTTGCGTTACCTCGCAATGCCTTTGCGTTACCTCGCAATACCATTGCGTTAACTCTCAATACTTTTGCGTTACCTCGCAATACTTTTGAGTTGCCCGCGAGGGGACATGGGGGGACATTTTTCTTTTGCGTTCCCTCGCAATTACCTTTGTGTTCCCTCGCAATACTTTTGCGTTACCTCGCAATACCTTTGCGTTATCTCGCAATACCTTTGCGTTACCTTGCAATACCTGTGCGTTACCTCGCAATACTTTTGTGTTCCCTCGCAACACCTTTGCGTTCCCCCGCAATACTTTTGCGTTACCTCACAATACCTTTGCGTTCCCTCGCAATACTTTTGCGTTACCTCACAATACCTTTGCGTTACCTCGCAATACCTTTGCGTTCCCCCGCAATACTTTTGCNTGGCTGCACTGTGTTAAAATATCGGCATATGACATACATGTGTGGTTGTGTGATATATTCATTCTGAAGCTGAATTAAAGCAGTAGGCTAACTCGCTAATGGTGAACATGAGTTTGTTAATAAACCGGCAGCACAACAGTGATAAACGACTTTTGCGAGGTAACGGAATACTTTTGCGTGGGAACGCAAAAAGAAAAAAATCCCCCATGTCCCYTCGTGGGCTCAGTAAGCATGGATTATGAAGAAAAGGACAAAATATAAATATAGCTCATATAGCATTCTTTCACATGAGTAGGACAGTTTTGTTAAAGCTGCTTTATAAGCTGAGTGGTTAGCTGTTAGCCTAGCCTGGACACAGACTCCCCAGTGTCACAGCTCACAAAAAAACACCTTATAATTGACCAGATTAGCTTTTTAAGTTTGATATATTAAAACAAAAAAAAACCCACAAACATTCAGAAAGTCTTCCCCGTGTTTTTATCTGGCGGGGGCTCGTCCTGAAAGGAGATTGGCCAGTTGAGCTGGAGGACCCTGAGGGGCTCTGCTGGGCAGGGAGGGCCTGTGAATGTGAAAGCCTGTGTGATTGATTTCAAATAGAGAGGTGGTGGTGGGGGGAGCCTCCATTGTTCGACTGTAACCCTTCACCCAGCTCAATCTGGTGCCGAGGACTCCTCAGGTCCGAGGCCCGGCTGGACAATGAAGGCTTTGCCGGCTTAATGGGTGTGACTGCAGACCAGAGGGAGTTTTCTTTTTTAGGGGGGTTAGTTTGAGCTTGTGTGCAAATGAAGAGGCTCTTATTATGCTAATGTGTCCTCTTCTTTCCCAAACGTCCCCTATCTTTATCCCTGAAGCCTTCCAATCTTTGAAATGACAAATCTTAATTCAGACTGGAGCTGTGCCACCAGGACCAGCTGTGGATAATTCCCCCAACAAGAACCTCCTTCTGCCTCCTCAACCTGAGCTCAGAGAAACCAACCAAACAGGCTTTGATCAAACTGATCAGTGCTTCAAAAACTATCATTACTGTCAACAAAAGTTTTTATTTTTCTGCTTTTATTTTCTGGTTTACATTATAGTTATCTTCCAACCATCAGCAAACTTGTTCTTAAATATGCCTCCCAGATGAGAATTATTTTAGAAATATCTAATTTATTTGTTTATTGTTTTGTTTTTATATGAAATAAAGTATAATTTAAAATAAAGCAGCTTATTGTTTCTGTCTGTTTGTTCAGCTTGACTGATGATCAGATTCAAATAATAAAATAATAAATCCTCAAGCTGGTAGATTTGATTTAAATTAATTAATGTTGATTACTGCTCAGGTTTTATTCTACAACTGCTCAAAAATGCTCTTTTGAAACCACTCCTCTTGTTGTCAATAAAACTAATYAGTTGTAAAAAGCTGTTTCTGGTTCACATATTTATAGTTTTACAGTCTTTTCCTGCTCCTGGTCTGACTGGTTTAAAATGTATACAGTAGCTGTTATAAAACTCTAAATGACTCTATTCTTAAAATAAATATTTGTTATTTTTATTATGTTCCACTGTGGAAAAAATGTGTACAAAATTTG